GGAAAAGGGAGAGCCGGGTTCGGCCTTATAATCTAAAGCTCTCTTGAGGCATTTGCTACAGTAATGAGAAGTGGTATTTTATCAAGGCCAGGTTACTAAATTTGAGTTGGAAATATTAGAACCCGCCGTGGCACCTCCAAGAAGGTTACACGTTCACGCGTCGTATACCTGGAACCATTTTAAGGTAAACATAGAGGGATTGATATCTTTCGTATGCCTAGCGCGCAGACGGGATTTTATAATTTCATAGTTTTAAACGGCCTAAATACCTTAACTCGCTTAAAAAATAACGAGCTATAACGAAATGGGCACAGAAATAAATCTAACTTCATTAAATTATTTTTCATATTTGTATAAAAGCGCGGGGTGAAACCCGCGGATATAAGCTAGTGAGAGAATAGAAATGTTTTTGATGTTTCGCAAATTATTTTAAGTTTTGAAGCTAAACTAAGTCTTTTTATTTCATGGTCTAAAAAAAAGTTTTCTTCATTTTCCATGGCTAGATAATAATAATACTGCCCATGATTTAGAAGAAGATTTTGAAAGAAGATTTGCCGATTTGAAATTATTTAAATGTACGTTTGCATAGTTCATAAACCTTTTTTTATGTAACATAAATGAGGATGAATTTATAATATCCAAAATACTCCTTTTTAAGAAAAGCGAAGAAGTGTTGGAGTTTTTGGAATTAAAAGAAAAGGTACTAGAAATGCAACATAAAGCTTTGCTATTGCTTGAATTCCGGCAACAAGTACCAGATTTAAAATATCGCTGTTGAAAACAATTGCGTGCCGTACATTTTTAATTCTTGGTACAACGTACTCTATAATGAAATTCGCAAAGTAAAAATACTGTTCACAATTAGATGCATTCGTGTACCTGATATTATTGAAAGTTATAAAAACTATCGTCGGCCGCTGTGGTGTAGGTCGGCCGCTATGGTGTAGTGGTAAGCAGTGCGGGCTTCCACTCCGTAATGCCTGGGTTCAAGCCCTGGTCAAAGCAACATCGCAAAAAATATAGAAAAAAGGTTTTTTCTTAACAGCGGTCGTCCGTCGGCAGGCAATGGCAAACCTCCGAGTGTATTTCTGCCATGAAAAACAGGTTCTCATAAAAATACAATCGCCGTTCGGAGTCGGCGTAAAACTGTAGGTCCCTCCGCTTTGTGTGGCAACATCAAGGCACATGCCACAAATCGGAGGAGAAGCTCGGCCAAACACTAACATTTGTGTTAGCGCCAATCTATTATTATTATTATAAAAACTATGAGCTTTTTGTGTTCGCGTATGCAAAAGACTTGCAAAGTAGGGGAAATTGAGAGAGCAAAATCACATTTCGTTTTGAGGGAAAGCTGCTAGTTTCTGCTGGAAAAATGTTTGCCTATAGCAATTTGCCAACAAGAAAACAGCTGGTTGGAATTTACGCAAATACCTAAATTGAATTTGATGGTTTGGGAGTTAAAATAGTAAAATGCGACTAATTAAACTTGTAAGGAGGAAGTAGTTATTCGCTTAGTCAGTGAACAGTGTCAGGATAAGGCTTCGGGATTTGTTTTCTTACGTTGTCAATTTTATACTTTTGAATGTAAATAAAATTTCTATCAGCTGTTCGTCTAACTTGCAAGTTTCTGCAAATTTTCTGTTCGCGTATTATTTTGGATTTTGAAAATTTGGCCAAAATGGATCTTTTGAATTTTCTATCTAATATCTATCTTACGTACATTGGAATAATAATAAAATTAATGTTTTTCATTATTCTTTTTGTTGTTTTTTTATGGCTGAATAACTCAGTGAGAGGGGAGACCAGTATGTTTGCATGTATGTATATAAAAAAATATTTATTGGACCAAAAAGTAGTGGGTAGGCACTGTGGCCAATGGTAATCAACTATTACCACCTCTGCATGGCTTACAACCATGCAGAGTCCGCAGAAGACTCCGGAAGCAGTGTCCGGAGGATGCATCAGACTAGGCCGAGCATACTTTGAAGTGCCATCTTATTAGAACTTAAGAAAGTTCAATTACTTGGCAGTTGAGAAGTGCATGTGCAAAAATTTCCTAAGTTGCATAAAGGAAATTTTTGCACATGCAGCAGTACATAGCATGTATTTAGGCGCCTGGTGTTAGCAGACGCGCCTAAACATACCGGCCCCCCTAGACGACTTGGTCGTCTAGTGGATATAACAAAAGCCGCAAATATCCGGCTCGAAGGACCATGAATAACTCAGTGAGAGGGGAGACCAGTATGTTTGCATGTATGTATATAAAAAAATATTTATTGGACCAAAAAGTAGTGGGT